TAACCTTTTATTTTTGTATAGGGCCTATGCCTAATCAAATTTGGAGCAGTATTAGTCAATAGCATGAAATACAAATGAAATACGCACAGTAAAAGTAAAAGTATCAACTGTAGTAGGCCTACTATTTTACATGCAGTTCAGTCCATCCTATAGCAAAACGATGGCTTACTCTCTGTAGCATCACCTCCTTCAAAACTACAGTACTGTACATCATTTTGTATAATATTTCATAGAGTAGGCTTTAACATGATCCCCAGTTGTATGCTTAACGTTTGACATTACCTCCTTGGTTTTATCTGAAAGCACGAGTACCATGAGTGGCTATATGCTATCCCCTGGGCCTGGTTCCACCTGAGACAACTATAGTCTTCTATAGTTGTCTCAGTTCCACGTATCATCTTAACCTACAATGAGATGCTTCCAAGTTTTTGTAAATTATTATATTTCGGAACCTTTGCGTAGGTAATATGAAAAGTCGAGTCGTTTGTATACGAGAAACCTTGACTGCTTGTTTCTGTTTTTTAGTTTTGTTTCCTTTGCAAACAATTAAGTTCATGGTAAACAATGACACCGTCTGTGAATTAAAATACAGCCCATGAATTTGTTCAAGTAAATTATAAAAAATGACATTAACAGCGATTGGAAAGAACAGTCAGATATTTGTTCTCTAAAACTGTGAAATTAGTATCCGACGCTCGTCAGGAATTGAATTTGTTCGACATCAAACTAAAACACATAAAACATATAAAGAAGAGCAAGTAATGTGTGCTCGAAAGATGGGTATCATCAGGGAGTTGTTAACTCCCTGGTATCATTAAGTACTGTTTTCTAATCATCAGTGTTTACGAAAGTAAAATAAATTTTATAAACAGCTGGCGAAGAATATTTATGATTGCAGAATCTTGTCAATATATTTCAAATATACTTTCTGTGATTACAATATGGAAAATTGCGTTTATCGGTTAACACTTCTTTGAACAGGTGTTTATCGATCAAGGCTTCTTGTGATACATTCGTAGTTAAAGCCTCTGCAATCATGCAGTTATCATATCAAAGCTTCTGGAAACATGCATGTCTATCGATTAACGCTTAGGTATGGAAAAAATTGTTTATCGGCAAAAAAAAAATCTGGAAATGTGTTAGTTCTTAACGATTCTGGAAACCTTCGCTTAGCAAGAGTAATGCTTCAGAAGACATGCGTTTAGCTCCTGGAAACATTCGTTTACCTGGAAACCTTCTGGATAAGTAGGCCTATCGGTTAATGCATTTGCCCTGACGTGTGTGTTCGTTGGAAACGTTTCTTTAGCGATTAACGCTTCGGGAATCCTGCGTTTTTCTGTTAAAGCTTCTGGAATCATGCGTTTGGCTTCTGGAAACATGCGTTTGTTGTCGGTTAACGCTTCAGGAAACATGCGTTGAGCCTTTAAGCTATTACCAAAGTACCCGGCATTTCCTCCTCTTCTTCTCATCTCCTGTCCACTCGCGTAATATAACGAATTCGTTGTCACAAGTAGCAGAACACAACATAGTTGAAGTTGTAGGCCTAAATACTGCATTTTTTAAATGCGATGGAGACACTCGTGTTGGCAATGTGTTGAATAAGTCACTACCTTAATACATCTCCAGGCATTCTATTTATATCATCCAAAAGTAATTTGAGAACGCTAATATCTAGTAATTAATGGTTTTACCATAACTACTGTAGTATATGATTAATGCACTTGGGTCGTCATCGTCGTATCATGTTCGGTACGGTATATAACAATTGAGATCAGCTACATTTTCGCTGGTCATTCAATCTCTTTAGTTTGAAAGACGACACATTAAATCTCTTCTCACTACACAAAACGATCTAAGTAACCATAATCCAAAATAAAGGAAAAAAACTTAAAAAGATCTTGAAAAATGTACACAACTTGCTGCAAATAAGCAATGTTAATTGTACCATGAGTTTTTTTTTTAAGTGTCCAAATAGTTATTTATTAATTTTTCTAATTTAAATGTATGTGCAACTTTTTTTTTTCTTTTCCTTTAGTATCACTGATTGGAAAACAATAGATTAATAACAATAACGATAATAATAATAATAGGCCTAATAATAATAATAATAATAATAATAATAATAGGCCTAATAATAATTATAAAGGCCTAATAAAAATAACAATAATATAATAATAAACAATAATGGTAATAATAATGATAATGATAACAATAATAATAACTAGAGTAGTCACTCCATAGAGTGCAAACCTCCGCCCTGTGCCTGGCTATCCAAAAAACTACCGTTATTTGTATTGTCCCGTCTATATTGTGCCCCCAGCCCCGATCTCAACAAGGACAAAAACTGGCACCGTTGTTCATTAACGAATTATTTATAATCAAACACTACAGTGTAATAGGATCGTGCAAAAAATACAAAAAAAAACAAATGAAATTCCACACAGGGAAGAAAATTACTTTGAATAAAATAATAGACTCTGTATGAGTAAAATAGGCATAGAATTATGAGCATTATTATTTCAATATAAGCATACCAACATAATTATTTTCACTATCGATTTTGGAAGAAATTTATCTGTTTCACCAATAATATCAAGTTTGGTTGTAGTCAATATTTGAAATGATTAAAATAGGCGTACGACTAAGAATGCTTTAATTAAAACTGCTTTTACCGACGGGAGCCTTTCAATTCTGGCAATCCGGTGTCACATGGATCCCCCAGAAAATTCGGCATCTTACATAATGTACATACTGTAGTAGGTTAGGTGATCTCCAGGTTTAATTCCCTCCGGTGTCGAAACACTGGCAGCAGCCCTGGGGAATACATTCCATGTCAAGAAAGTGGAACTCACACTGATTCGCACAGGCTGAAATTTGATGAACCCCGAATTCATGGGGACTGAAACCCCTGTGACACCGGCAAATCAAGCGTTGGAAAAACACTGCTAATTACAACCATGTAGGAAAATCACATTTATAATACAGTAAAGACATAATTCATAGAAAGTTCGTATGTAGGAATACATGCCCCTCCCCCACCTCTTAAATCCACCCCTGAATGGAGAGATCAGTCAGATATTCTGTTCCATAATACCTGTGTGATAAAATTTGGGTGAAAATTCAGAATTCAGTCTGGAATAATCGTGTTTATCAGTTAATGCTTCTGGAAACAGAGGTTTATTGGTCAAGGCTTCTGGATATATTCGTTTACTACTAGTTAAAGCTTCTGAACGCACGTAGGTCTCATTCGTGTACTGAGTTAAAAAGTCAGCGAGTGGGCCACAATTAATAAGCAAAATCTGGAAATATGCGCGCGAGGGTCTTCTGGAAACATGTGTTTTCGGGTTCAACCGAGGTCTGTATTCAAAGAAACACAGAGTACAAATATTCCCCCCTCCCTAATTTGGAAAATTCTTTGCCTGTCACCAGATGCAATGCACAATTTCATGAGAGGCGACAAAATGTATGATTACAAACTCAACATTTATTAAACTTCCAACATCTTTTAAAATCAACATTAATATATGCTTATCTAAAACATAAAGACTGATTATTCTTTGATTTTTCTAAATGTGACACCATGTGATATTTAAAACTGATTATTGAAGGCATATTATTGATGTCGAATATACATATTTGTAAGTAACACATCAAGACTAAAGAATTACAATATATATAACGTACTGTATATCATAAGATTTCAAACAAGCCTTCTGATAAGACCGATGTTCCTATGCCGCCATATGGTAAAGTATTACCCTACTTGATAATGATGTAAATAGAAATAAGGAAACAAACAAAACGGGTCCAGGACTTTTCGTAAATAAAGAGCTTAAATAATAATGTATTTTTAAAAATTCTTAATTCAGGTAGAAATGTTAGGGACTTCTTAATGTCCACTAATCTAAAGTGGTATCGTTACAGTTTAGTACGTTCCCTAGAATCCAATTACAGTATTATTGTTGTATAATTATCATTTGGTGAGGTCAGGTACAGTATTTGGATCTAATTTTTATCATGCAATAGTCAACTCTACTATATAACGCTTGATTATTCCGAGTCTTGTATTGCTTTAATATTTATCCCAAAATATTTTCAAGTACTGTAATAGGCCACAATTACATGACAAAAAATCCATAACAGGCCCGTAGCCAGGTTCTTCCATGGGGGGGTGAGGGGTTTCCTGGGCGTGAGGTCCATGGTCGAAGCCCCGGTGGGGTCAGCGAAACCCCCAAAGCAAGGGGATTTTTGTGCTTTGTGGGTCTAAATAATGCTATAAAAGCAGATATGATTGAAAAGATCTTTGTCTGGGTGGGTCTACAGTGTATTAGTTGGGTTGGAGGACTTATTTGAGAAAAGAAGACTACACAAATTCCAGTATTCATGCCAAGCTGTGGAAGTCTTCTGAAGATCAATACAAACCAGTCTGTATCATTTCCAGATTCAGAGGCCACTTCTATGCCATGGGGAATCATTAGAGTATCAGCTGCTTCTTGTGTGCTTACAGCTGTTTTTGGAGGATGCTCTGGGGCGCTTGTTTTGACATCTTGCCGTGTGAATTGTGAGAGGTACCGCTGAAACCAGAAGAGTGGCTCTTCAGCCAATATACGATCATCTTGGACCAGAAAGAGCAGTGACACTATCAGGCTTCCATACTATCACCGGTTGTAATAAAAATTTTCAGGCCCGTAGCCAGGTTCTTTCAAGGGGGGTTTTCTGGGCGTGAGGTCCACGGTCGAAGCCTCGGTGGGGTCAGCGAAACCCCCAAAGCAAGGGGATTTTTGTGCTTTGTGGGTCTAAATAATGCTATAAAAGCAGATATGATTGAAAAGATCTTTGTCTGGGTGGGTCTACAGTGTATTAGTTGGGTTGGAGGACTTATTTGAGAAATGTGAAGAGGCGGGGGTTCGCCAGAAAAGAGGAGGGTTTGCTAGAAAAGGGGGGTTCTCCCGAACCATAAAACCCCCCCCCCCCTGGATACGGCCTGCATAACTCCCCCCCCGGATACGGCCTGCATAACTAACAGGTATTTTGAAATTAAACATACATATACACACTTATATATACATATATATATCTATATATATATATATACATTTTTTTTTCTGTTTGCTGGGGTGTATACAATTATCAAATAACAGATATTTTATGATTGCAGTTAAGATATCATATGGAGCAATATTCACAATCATAATTTAAATTTGTGGACAAAAAAATCAATAAAGGTAAGTCATATGATATAATGTAGATATATATCGGGTTGTCTTATGAACAATAGAGGTGGAAGGAATTTTGTAAGGAGTTTACACCCTAAATCGTATACGTACTATTGGAGAATCCAATAGAAGAAAACTGCTTGCATTTAGTAACCATCTGAAGAAGACCAGTCATAGACATCGCCGTCATCATAGTCATCATAATAATCATCAATGTCAAAAGAGGATCTCACTGCATGAGCTGTTGTTGACGTATTGTAAGAGCGATCTCGCCGCTTCAGCCACCTTGGTTTCACACTTTCACCTATGAAGTTCGGCACACCATCATAAAACTTTCGTCGAATGGTTTCAGAAACAAGTTTTATCATCTGGGGGCACCTCACCACAATAGGGTCATTTTCGATGGCATACAACTCCCTTGCAGAGATATGTGTTAAACGGATATGCTGTAGGATTTCATAGATCAGTTCTGGTGTTTGAGTTCGAGTGCTATCGAACTCCAACCATTTCTTGGCTGCTGCAAATATCTTTTGCTCGTTGTCCCCAATTTCATCTTTCTGGAGAAGCATCACAATGGTTCTCCTTGGCAACTTCTGCCACTCACTACTCTTAATGAAACTGGCGAAATTGGAACCAATCCACTGAATAATGCATTTTAAGCCAGGATGCATCAAAGTGTCAGCTTCAAAGGCATTGCAGACCGCGATAGCTTCTGGTGCTGTTAGTTTCCCTTGTTGTTGCCGCTGTGATACAAATTTATGAAGAAATTTACAGAGACCTAGCTTCAGACCTTTAAGGTTGTACTTATCAGCAATCGTGTATATGGACATTAGGTTCTCAATGTGAAGACGGATTTTTCCTGTGTAAAGGAACTTCAGGACAAGAGCGAAGACATCACTGTTATCTTCTTGCAGTTCTATCTCTTGCTGACTTGCTTCCTGCCAGTCACCTTTCATCAGCATGGTCTCAAAGACATCACTGGCAGAGACCAGTACAATCTTGTGTGCCTCGAATACTCTCTCACCAACCTTTACAAAGAAATTCAAAGGAAAAATAAAAGTACAGTAGTTATTTTATATACAGTATTTTGATGGGGTGAGGATGGGGAAAATTGTATTTAAGGAGCATTTGATGGGTCACATTGTCAGGTAATAGTGCACATCAACTACAGTATGGGGTAATGCATTTGTATTAAGTGCACATTGAATTATGGGTGGTGGTGCACCTAATGTGGTGAATATTGCATTATAGTTGGTGTACATTGCATCATAAGTGATGGAGCACAACTTTTTACCCTGTGAGCAACTTTGACTTTGCATGGCTTTTTTAATCTGCTGGACTAAATTCTGTAATTTACTGTACCTTCAGCTTGACATCGCTGAGTTCCTTATTATCAAAGAAGCGCCCCATTGAGGTACCCACTTTGATTAAAATTGCATCAGTTTGTTTTTTGTTTTTCTTCCTTGATGTGATTGACATACCTGTATCATCTTTCTGTGGAAAATGAAAAAAAATAGTGGTGCTGACATATTATTACCCATTACAAAGTTAGCAGATACAATGGCCGTATTCGACTGGTTCATTTCGTTGAGTAAGAATTATTTTCATTCGACTGGTATGTACGTAGTGTGTATCGTGGTAACTATGCAGCCATTTTGTTTTATCGAATAATTACCAGTCATCTATTCGACTGGTCGCCTTAAGTAGGTTAAGTAGGATTTTACCAACTGGCGTGGTTTAACGAAGAACGACCAGTCGAATACGGCCAATGTAATGTCAAATTCAGGATTTTGGATACATGGCCACAATTTCAGAATTGATTGAAGATGTACTATCAGCCATGAGGTAAAATAAGTTTAAAATTTTAATTTCACATTTTTTAAACTTGTATATTGAAGATTGAAGTAAGTTACTACCTTAAAATTAAAAATTTGAGTTAAAAAAAAAAAAAAATTTTGGACCGTTACATAAAAACTTTCTTGTATTCTTTTGCTCAGATCCTTAAATTGGCTGGTAATCAATTTAAGGATTTTTGTAGTAAAATGTCTGTAAATCAGTGAAAACTACTTTTTTTTTTTTTAATAGTTTCTTGTTCAAAGTTAATAATTTATTTAATCCCTTCAAATGAGCTATTATTATTATTATTATTTTAGTATTTTTGTGTCTTTTGACTGATAGTACATCTTTAACATGTTCCCAAAGCACAATCCACCAATGCTGCGATCTAATAGAGTGATCTATTTTTTTGTGATTGCTGATGGTAACTCTAAATTATACGAATCAATGCCTACCAGTGGTGGATCCAGGGTAGTAAAAAAAATTCTCTTACCCCAGCTCCCTCTCATGGCAAGAAATTCAATAATAAACCATGAAATTATTTGATAAAAGACTAATTGCAAAAAATGGCTAAAATGTCCAAGGGGACATTTCAAGGTGAGCATTTATAACCCTCCATCTCAGACCATGGTCCTCCTCCCCTACCTGGAAGAAAAAAACCGTGGATCACTCATGCCTGCTGCAGGCTTTAAAATAAAAATGTTTACTAACCACTGGATTGTTTCTTTCATGGAATACATGCGGCTGAAGCGACTGGCGAAGTGCCAGAAACTGTAGAATGCTATGATCATCTTCATCGTAAAACATCTTTCTATTTTTCAATGAAAAGGTACAGCATCTAGGTAAAATCTAGTTGTAGGTGGACACTAAAAACCACAATAATGAAAATAAATTTGCTATTTCGGTAATTTACATATATTGTTTTCTTTGTATAATGTTTTGTATTAAAAGAAATAATAAAACAGTAGTTTTGTGTAAATCTCGCATCCATATGGTACTTAATTCTAACTAATTAAAAGCAGCAAATTGACAAACAAATGAATACTGAAATCAAGGAATCGCATTTGATTACTTAATAGTAAATAAATCAAACAAAAGAAAGTTCACTCTGTCATGGGTTTTGGGCTGCCTCCTATATACAGTACCTGTACAGTATATCTCATGTTCACAAGCCAACTCCCCAGAGATAAAATGCAGAAATACAAAAATTCTAATAAAAGCGATGCACTTCTGTAGTGTGGTAGATGGCTTTGTGATCGAATTTGAAACGACCAGGATTAGAAATGTGAATTTTTGTTGCTATGGCTGAAGGTACAGTATGGGTAAACCGGTAAGACACTAAGTGGTTTCGCGCAGTCGTAATGGTTTGGTTTCCCGACCTCAAAGTTGGAGCTTCAACCTTGATCTTTTTTAGGTTTGTGTGCAAAAGGCCAATTCAAACGCCATTAGTGCACGGTTCGCTTGATCTTTTTCACATGGTGTATGATACGCAACTATTCTAATTGACTTACTAAGCATAATATTAATAGGCATTTCATTTCATTTCATTTATTCAGACAAGTGTCTTGGGGCCCCAAAAGCAACAAAATCATCATGACAAAAGTCTGGAGCCCCAGAAAACAAAACTTAACTACATTATTAGCGAGTATATAAAAAGAAAGGTTTAAAATGTAAAAAGTGAAAGGCCAAGACAATAAAAATAATAATAAAAAACACAGATTTCGCACATAATCAAATAATAGATAAAATTTCATAAAAGAATGATAAAAAATTTAATCGTCGAGAAAAAATTGTTTAACTTGCCTTATGAAAACCGAGAGAGAACAAAGGACTGCAGAATCTTTTAGTTCAGAAGGAAGTGAGGACCAGAGACCAGGGAAACGATGGATAGCAGAGAATTTGAGACAATTAGTGCAAGCATATGGATGTTTGAAGGTGAAAGAATCAGGGTAACGAGGATTAATTGCAAGATTATCAACAACACTGTAACAGTAATTAAAATTATACAAACAAAAGGAAAATAAAAGAGATTAAAATTTGATCACGATGGTCCTTAAGGGACAGCCAGTTTAACAGCTTGAGCCTTTCCTAAGGTAATACCCCCCAGCTGACTTTAAGAATACGCCTAGAAGCATGTCATTGAATTTGTTCAAGACGTTCAGCATGTTTGGCGTAAACAGGACCCCAAGCAGGGAGACCACACTCAATGATAGGCAAGATCATAGCTTTATACAAACAAGAGATGACTGTGAACTATTCCCAGCATGGGAAAGGATTACGCCAAGGAGTCTGTTCGACTTGGACACAACATGCGAAATGTGAACATCCCAAGAGAACTTATGATCAAGGTGCACACCTAGGTACTTGAATTTCAACAGATTCGAGTTCATTACCATTGAGGAAGTAGGTGGGCTTTTCAAATTCACGCTTCCTATGTGATGTGCATAACTTTGGTTTTCTTTACATTAAAAGTCATAGTGTTGACAGAAGCCCAGTTGCACAGTTGATCAATATCTCTCTGAAAGATGGTAGCGTCATTATTGCACAACATATGTCTAAAAATAAGTACATCGTCAGCGAATAAAACACAATGAGATATAACGTTAAAACTAATGTCATTTACAAAAAGGTTAAAAAGGACCGGCCCAATGCAAACTACCTGGAGGTGGCAGGCAAAGAAGATGATATTGTACCATTAAAACAGACACGTTGGTACCTATTGCTTAAAAATAATGACATCCATTTCCAGACATTACCCTGAATATTAAAATGAACAGCAAGCTTGTGTAACAATATATCGTGGGCCATTTTATCAAATGCTTTACTCATGTCAAGAAATAGAGCATCGATAACACGAGGATTCCGTTCGTCAAGGAGACGAGACCATTCATAAACAACATTAGTTAATTGAGTAACACAAGATTTGTGCTTTGTAAAGCCGTGCTGGTGTGGATTTAAAAGACCATTGTCAAAGAGAAATGTATTTAGATTGGACACCATTATTTTCTCCATTAACTTACAAACTACAGATGTGAGAGCAACGGGTCGATAATTTTTTATATTAGTTTTATCACCAGATTTGTGCACCGGGGTAACGTTCGCTATTTTCCATTCAGTAGGCAGCTCTCCTGAAATGAGTGACCTCCGAAAAAGAACTTATACAGCGGAAGACATACAGTGCTTGAAATTGATTTTAAGAGATTAGGAGTAATTTGATCTGGGCCAGGTGCAGAATTTGGTTTCAGATTAGAAATGGCTTTGGCCACATCATCAGGCACAAATTCTATATCAGAGAGAACTGGTACTGGAAGGGTACTCTTTGGCAGGTCATTAAAATTAAAATTAAAATTTGATGGGTTAAAAACAGAGGTAAAATAAGTATTAAAACCATTGGCAATGTCATTAAAATCAGATATTTAACACTATTGCACGGGCTATTAAATGTTTTGGGCAAACTAGACGCCTGTTTCTCTTTAACAAAAGCCCAGAAACGTTTCTTATTGTCATTTGATTTCAAATATTCACATAGTTTTTATAAGACCTTTTTATGGCATATTTAACAGCATTACGTTTGACTTTATAGTGTGTCCAGTGATCCTGCGATCCAGATCGTCTTGCTTTCCGAAAAAGCTTGGTCTTTTGCTGGATCAAGCGTTTTAAGTCCTTCGTTATCCATGGACTGCTTGGCTTCCTAGCTTTTCTGGAAATAGACGGGATGCTATCCCTAACTGCAGCATCCAAGATGTCACGGAAGCACTCCCAGCTACTGTCAATATCGCCGTTATCCAGAAACACGTTCCAAGGAACAAGATGTAAAAGTTGATTCAAATGATCAGTCACCTTTGCTGTATTTCAAGAACGAGCACATGGTAGATTTCGCTGGCAAGGAATGGCGAACATTATTCTCAAACTCAACAGCTAGGTGGTCACTTTCCACTGGGTTTTCAACAACACACAAATTGATAAGCTTTTCAGAATTGTTGGAGAACACAAGGTCTATAATAGATCCATCGTTGGCATTTGATTGAGGTCTTGTGGGAACTTGAACCAGCTGATCCAAGTTAAATGATGCCATAATATCAGTTAGATGATGTGGGGCAGTAAGCCAATGCGTATTGAAGTCCCCTAATATGATGATGCCATCATAATTGATAAATTCAGCCTCAAGTCTGGCAAATGATTCCTCAAAGGCTGTCCAATAGGAAACTGCAGAGTCTGGTGGCCTATAAACCAACCCTAAGAGCCACGACTGGTGACCTTGGCATAATGATATCCACATCATTTCAATTCTGGGGTCAATGTCAATTAATTTTGGTGCAAGGTATGGTTTGATTCCAATCAAGATACCACCACCCAAATTTTGATGATCCCTATCTCTTCGGAAAATGTCATACTGATTGGCAAAATGAAGCCACAAGACCTACTGACTGTTCCTTAAAAAAAGAAGGTGGTATAGAATTGTGCCAGTGAATATGGCACAATTAATTATGTCTAATTAATGATTATTTGTCCAAAAATTATTATTTTTTCATCACTCTTTTCACCAGGGGCGGATCCAGTAGGGGGCACGGGCAGAACGTTTCCCCCCGTTTTTCCACTAAATTTTAAAAATTTCAATGCAAATCAATGTTCTGTGCTACTCACTAACTATTCTGAAACTGCTGTGGCCCTCTCCTGGATCCGTCCCTGTTCATCTACTTTTTTCCCTCTGACTAGGGGCTGGACACCTTTGAGGGAGGGGGACTGCTCTGAGTGATTCGTTCTTTAAAATTGAATTTTAATTTTTGGATGGATATTGTTCCGATATGTAGCGAGAGTGAATTGAAGGGTCAAAGCCTCATCAATCAACACCTCGGACTTGTGTTGAGTTGAACAATCCACAGATACTGTAATGTATGTATTTATGTACAGTATGTATATTATTAACGAATTAGTAGAGCTCCGCATAGTATTAGTACACTATAGGAAAATTATTGTACGAAGGTTAGATTTAATGCTTGAAAAAATTTCCTGAGGGCCTGCAAGGGAATGCATTAAATCTAACCTAAGTATAATAATTTTCCATTTAGTGTACGATGCATGCTCTACTTATTGCTTTATAAGTCAATCGCCGTCTTTTAATTTTAGTTTTTTATAACCAACTGAGCAGCCATCGGTTGCTATAGTGATATGATCAGTATACACTATGTGTGCGTATTTACATTTAGCTGTGTGTATGCCGATTTTTGCTCCTGCAGTACGTGTTTAGTTAGCTACACATCAGCAATACAGTACGGATACGGCGAATAACTATTGTGTTAAAAAGAACTTGTTTGTAATGCTATTTTGATAGACTTTCGTCAAAGAAATAAACATTTTAGCATTCGAGAGAGAATACAGTCACTGACGTCCTTTTTTGTCGGTGCATGCAGACAGGCAAAATCGTGCGATGCTTTCATAACTAAGCTAGGCTACGGCCTAGTAGTAGTAGTAGTAATAGTAGGAGGTGGCCCGGCCGGCCTCCTGCCTGGCCGTATTCCTACATCTAAATTTGTTCCTTGAGTCTTTAACTTTTTAACCCCGAGGCCTGCATTAATGCGGGCCGAGGTCACCAGGGACGATCGTAATTAATTATGCAATTAATTAACAATAATTATTTTAAAATCGTATGCGCGGTTTAGTGTGCATGTAGGTTCAAAAAATATGTGAGAAAACATCAAAAAACATTTATAGAAAATATTTCTTCTTCCATTTATAATTAATTTCTGAGTTTAGGGTAATTAGCAATTTGTAATTTGATCGTTGTTTATGTAACATGATCGCCTTGATCGAGGCGTCGGCGTCAATACTGGTGGTGAATAAAATCTCCTAAAAACACTTTATTTTCAGAAAATAACTATTCTGACACTTTCATACTATAAATATTTTCAAAATACATACTGTACCAGATTTGGTTATTATATCGACATATTTCCGCGTAAAATTGATTTTTTTTTTGTGGCTGAAAGCAAAGCATGTGCTATCAATTACGCTTGACGCCATCTTGTACAAAAATGAAAACAAACCCTGAACATGACCGTTGAACTTTTCAACTTTCTGTTTTTCGGTGACCTGCGCCCTCTACACGTTGAAACAGATGAGACAATAAGGAAAATTTTGATACCAAGCCTGCCTATATTATCGTAATTTTTCGTATTTTTTCATATATTTTTTTTAAATCATCTGGATTTTTGGAATACACAATACGCAATTTTCGCACGACCTTGGACGGCTAGGCAGAAAATTATGAATTATGGATTTTACATCGCGAGGTAGGTTAGGCTATTCACGGTACGGTGCGTAGTGGGGAATGGGTGACTGAATGCGGCAAGGCGCCTAGGGGATTCGGCCTAGGCCCCCTTCGATGTAAAACTTTATATTATTTTTATCTCCCAAAGTTCTTCATCAGTAAATTCAAATTTAGATTTATTTTGTAAAGGAATAATTTGTGCTGATGTGGAGATGTGTTTGTATTCTGACTACTGACTCAGGATTCAATAATTTAGTTTTAAAATTATTCATCAAAAAATACTTATAAAATAAAACAATAATTGGAAATAATTTATTTTTTTTTTATTTTTTTCATAATTTCCACAATACTAAATAATAAGTTACTTGGAGGCATTTTTTAATACGCCGTGGCTAGAGATACGGTACCGTATTTCTACTTCATTTTGCTAAAGGTACGGTAAGTGGCATTACGTCACTATCACCCAATGAAATGCCAGAATGTGCGTGACGTCATTTTTTGAAGACTGGCATTGCATATCACCCGCAATGAGCGGTGGAAGGAGAACGATCGTTGTACAGTACTGGGAAATTAGAACATCAAAACAGGGAGTTGTCATTTAACAACTCCCTGATCAAAAGTACAATATTGTTTGACTTTACTGTCATCCTTAATTAGGCGTATAGTTCCACTTTATAGTAAAAGTAGGCCTGTATGAATTCTCTTGTTTACAGTATATTCATTTTTTATTGCAAGTGTTTTCATAAATAGATTACCAAAGACTAGCAGTAGTGTGTGTATACATGTGCCTTGGCCTAAGTCCTGAGGATGATGCCTTGCTTGATAAGGCTATATACGACCTGACTTTATTATTGAGTGGTTGTATATTATTGAGTGGTACGCCTATTTTTCTATGACAGTATTAAGGTCTGCATCAAAATTATTGGAAAAATTTGACTCAATTGTAATAATCACAAAGGGGAAACTTATTCTCTCGATCTAGGCCTAGATTCTGTACGATAACACTGACGAAGTCTAGCCCTATGAAAAGTTTTGTGCATTCAAATTGTATGAATATTTTGGTGGGATTGTAAAGCGTGGTATTATTTCGAACTTCTTGGACTATGAAGTTCAGATGGTATGACAGAACTAGGCTAAGTTTATGACTGATATAGGCCTATGCCACCATGGAGGTATAAAATTAGATGCCACTTAGATCAATGTCATCAGAGCAGCTGCCGTGAAAAACAGAAACCAAGCAAGGCCGAGCAGGCTTGCTTAGATTTTTCGCCAAGCAAAGAATTTAAGTAAGGCCTAGAGGCATGCCAAAAGTTTGGTGGAATCAGTCCTTGTATGATAATGGATATACATAGGCCTAGCTAAATGAAACTCTTTAATAAATGGAACCATAAGCCTATTTATCGATAACAGTACTAAGTCAAACAATATTGTACTTTTTGATGTTCTAGTTTCCCAGAACTGTACATCATTCTCGTTTCACCGCGGGTGATCTGCAATGCAATGCCAGTCTTGAAAAATGACGTCACGCACATTCTGGCACTTCATTGGGTGATGGTGACGTAATGCCATTTACCATACCTTTAGCAAATTGAAGTAGAAATACGGTACCGTATCTCCAGCCACGGCGTTTTTAATTATCTTTCAATTTCCTTCAGAAAAAATGATGACACTGAGAAAAAATTCAAAATCATTTCAAAAAATCTAGGGGTCAATGGGTTAAAATAGGTCTAGAATTTTCTTAAACGTTCAGTTTGCTGTGTTTATGAGGGTCCATTGATTCAACGAATTCCTTAATTGTTCACGAATACTTAATATTGAATTTGAAGTAATATTCTTCGGGTTCTAATTAAGCTTGTTTTACGAAAGTAATTTTCAATTACACTTCAATTTTTATCGCGGTGCGAGATGTATTTGCGGTGACGAAAAAATGAGGATTTTTTTTTGCACACGAACCTAAAAAAAATCAGGCCAATCGCCCACGAATAGAAAAATTAGTGGACGCTGGGGAATAGGCAAATAACATTGGGAGTTACAGTGATGACGTCACGATTTACTTATAATAACGATTAATATGCTTCATTTTCATTACCGTGTCTCCACCAATCAGATAACCCTATCCCTGTAACTAAGGTACCATGTCCACTACGATAACCTTTTTATCATTAAAAAAACACAATCATGTCCTTTTTCATCAGAATCATGCTCCGAACAACAACAGGACGATATAATTACAGTACACACAAATTAGTATGGTGGACCAGGGAATTGTTATAGTGACAATTCATGCAGCATCAGGAAGATATAATTACAGTACACAACATCGGTATGGATGGTGCACCAGTGACTAGCTAGGCCATTGCTAGCCAACTTAACGAGATCATTCGGAACGGACCTCTCTCTCACTGCGTGATCCCACATGTGCTCTGCTGAGTGTGAGAAGTCATGATTGGTTTTCAAACATGGCCTCTAATGGCATCAGCACACAGTTATAACTGTATATTAAAACGGTACTATGAATGACTATAACATATATAATATATAGTAATAGGCCCTACCTGTTCAGCGTTTAATGATTCCAGTTGATGCCTAAAAGTAAACGTTTCCGAACAAGTTAAGACACTCGTCCTACAGTGTGTGCCAACGTCGTTTTCAATGTTTTTTTTTTTAGGGATTTCCCATGGAATTTTTCAGACAGGAAACGCCTTCGATCAATCATGTACTGACACTGTACCAACAAACTTTAGTGGATTAATTATTTACATTAAAAAAAGAGAAAATAAGATATGGATCCAGTGGTTTAAACAATTTTAACAAATAAGATGTACCGCATCCACCAAATAAAACCAAGAGTCCAGACATTAGGGATCCGGTAGCGGATTTCGACCAATAATGTTCGAGCGATGTGACGTATGACGAGATTAAAAACACCCATGATAGAGCGCGATTCGCGAAAGAGACATCATCATGGCTGTAAGGCCCAATAAACAAAAATTATTAGTTTATCACACTCTCCTTCATCACTTTTGGGGAAAATCTGGTTTTTTTTTGGTTTTTTTTTTTTTTTTTCCTTCCATTAACATATATTTTTATTTCAAACGGTCCTTTTTCCATCTTTTTTCACTTGAAAAGCTCAGGATTTCTTGCAAACATGTTTACTGGTATAACAAAAACATATTTTTAAAATATAAATTTGATTCCATTCTTATGACTTTTTATGTGCCCCTAACCATTGATTTACATGTGGCCATCGGTAAAATGGGGGCGGGGTTAGCAAAAAAAAAAACAAAAAAAAAAAAACCTCCCGCCCTCATCAATTTTTTTATTCTTTGATAGGGTGATAAACTAATAATTTTTTTATGAGGCCTAGATCGTAGTTTAAACTTAAGTGATGCACCATAAAACCCTGTATTATCTAGAAGATAACTTTCTAGTTTCGGAGTTTTAAGGGTTACATAAAGCTGTGGAAAATAAATGCCAAGCTTCATTAAAATTACGTAATTTTAGGTCATCTTCAAGTTTTGAATATTTATTGGTTCGTATATCATTATAGGCCTAAACACTGCAAATAAATAGAAAATATTTAACATTTCGAGGTTCTTATTACATAGTGTGCATATACCAGTGTTGTTAGGTGCCCAGGTACATATTCTACAATCGAGGGGCAATGTAATAAATCGTAGTTTAAACTTAAGTGATGCACCAAAAAATGTATTATTCAGAAATAACTTTCTAGTTTCGGAGTTGTTTTAAGGGTTGCATGAGTCTCGAAGTGATGATTTATTATTGACTTCTTCAAACCATTCATTTTCAAACAAATTATAAATAACATATTTAATTGATGTAGCCCAATGTGGGTCTGCCGGTACTTGGCCTTTATAAGCATAAGCAAAAATATCTTCAGATTGACACACACCAAATATCTTTGGCAAACAACCCAAGAATTTATAACGTAATGTATTGAATTCACAGTTTAGATTAATCATTGAATAAAATAAAAGTTTCGGCCAACGATGCATATCCATATTCATAAGGCGAGCTATATAATTAAGTCTAAATTCATTTTGAATTACATCTTTCGCCTTCCAAACAAGATCACCATATAAGTGCAGTACGAGGAGTGCTGCGTGAAGCTTTCAAATACCGAGCCATTTGTAGCTGTAATCTTTCTAATTTGTCTGTATCACTTTTGCTATTTCCACCCCATACAGCACAACTGTAAGTAATTGTCCAATTGTCTTCCAGAGAATATTCCTATAATATACGCGGTTAAAATCGTCAAAATTATCTATGATTGATTTTAACATGCTGCCTCTTGTCCTGATTAGCCCCCGAAAAATATGACAATGTTAGGGGATTCAAAAGCTTATTTAATCGATTTTATAGTCTATTAATATGACAAACACATATTTTTTTTTAATTTGGGAGTGGGGCTGTAGCCCTAGCGCCCCTCCCCCACCCCCCGTAGATCCGCAACTGATGTCAATATCCCTGATTGACCATTATTCCTTTAAAAATTAAAATATAAAACGAAATCAAACTTACAATTTCTAATGCAGTACGGTAAATCACAAAGGAAATGAATTAAACTGGATAACAAATAAATTAAAATTTAAAATAACTAAGATGCTCAGAACACCGAACATACATGAAACTCTGGATGATACTCTATTCATCCAGTGACGCCCCCCCCCCCCCCACAACCCGCAGAGTTAAATAAAAATACTTCAAATATTCCCCCTCCCAATGAGTATTTCTTTTTCTTTCGTGAGAATGGAACAAGTTACAGATTCTAATTAAAACCTAACTTTGAACACGGAACACAGTGTAATGCAGAAATTGAACAAACAGATAATAAACCAAAGGGTTTGAATAATAGGGCCAATAATTTAGCAAGTCATTTCTAAGATTCCAAGCCCTTTTAACAAACCACAAAATCTGTCAAAGACTATAGCTTCGAGTTCACTGCCAAGTAGTAATGTTGAACAATCCAGGATTATTCAAGCCTTAACATCAGACATAAGATACCGTACCTATGTATTAAATAATTCTTGATTGCCATATCAAATATGGTCTAATTCGATTTGTAATTTATTTAATTTGTTTCTTCCAGAGACGTACGCTATGGGCGAAATAAAAAGGAAATGGCGAGTGTCTTCATCAGAATTTAAATCACATACTGCATGCATTTTTCTATTATTATTTACACTCCACCTCGACGTATATCCTTCAGTGGTAGTGTATTGGATCTTAATTCCAACTTTAAAGCAAACCCCTCTAGTTCGGTCCTATCAATGAGACACTTTTCTAATCCGCCAATGTCTTATACAAATTAAAATCATATATAAAAAAATGATAGGGCATTTGTGTCTTTATTTTATTTATATATAAACAGAAAATATTCCAGTAGCATAATAATGTTTAACTTCTTTTTTCGATAGGTGTAATCTGGTAAGAAGAGTAAAGTATTTTGATGAATTTTATTGAACTTCTAATTGTCAAATTAAACACTGAAAAGCATTTGCAAGTATGGGACGGTGCAAGATTTCCTGGCATTAGTTAAGTGCAATATTCTTGCTCTAGCCCTTCGGTCCGTATAGCGTAACTGCCAATGGTACAAATCAAGAGATTTAACATACACATGCACCTTATTACATTATTTCTGTAAAATGATGAAAATGGCTTTAAACAATAGCCTTATCAGAAGAATTGAAAAAAATACTATACTGTCAAGCTTCCAATAATAGGTCTTTTATTTTGAACAAATAAACAGCCTGCATTCATAAATGCCAACTATGGTGTTATGATAAGGCCATTAGTAGCCTATTTGTTCACTTCTTGATAGAAACAAAATTTTAAATTCCATATCATTCCAAAAATCCCAAGATTTAATGAAAAGTTAACAATAAATCACAAGATCCCAAAGTGTGAAAAAGTTAATTAAAAATCCCAAGATATGAAAAGTTAAATTAAAAATCCCAAGATCTTGGGATAAATCCCGCTGTGGCCACACTGTTCGGGTTGTAAAGGCTTGTAGCACCGCTTGTTGTTAGGGCGCAGTTTGGAGCTAGAGGGCGTACCATTTGATAAACATTCCGTTCGGAATTTTTTCTTGCTGCTGTTTGTCTCTTGTGGTTATACTGCTCACAAAAATCACAAATGATAAGTCAGTCTGTATAGGCCTAGCCTTTTTTAAATACAAAGATTAACGATGTCGTCGTGTAAAAGATGTGCACCTCAAGTATTTCGATGTTTTGATGTTTTAGTTTTTCTTATCGGTAAGTTATCTTCCAGTATTCCTCATTCGCTCCTACCCTACTGTATCCTAGGCCTCACTTCTCTGTTTCTGACAATAATGATGGGGCACTGCATGCAGCAGGCCTTTTAGTTGGGGTCTAGTCTGGGCCAAAGGGAGAAGGCTAGGCCTAGCTTAGGTCTGGAATCCAAGGGTGGGCCGGCCTACATTCCGCCTATATCTCTACCTTACATTAGGCCTAGGTAACATGATATAGACTAGGCCTACATTTATGCTAGATCTTGATATATCTGATATAATTACTTAAATTAGGCCTCAATTCATTATTTTATTTATTGTATTAACAAAAAAAATTAACTGCTTTTTTTTAATATTAATTAGGCCTATAGTTATACAACAGATGGATTGGTTACAGTACACCTTAAAATAATAAAGAAAGTTCTGTGAAAAAAGAGGTATAAAAATAGGCCCTATTAATCTAAAAACCTCATTGGTAAAGTTAAATGATTTTGTGTTATTTAAAAGCTTCATTTTGTAAAAGTGGATTTAATACTTGGGAATGAAAGAGTTACAATTTAAAGCCCCATTCCCAGCAAAATTTCACTAAAAAAAAAGATTTTTTTAAAAGAAAAAAATGCATATGCATTACTCTGATTATTATAAACCATGGAAAAATATTGGCATACATTTTAGTTTTACGCTAAAGCATAAAAAAAATTGAGAAATTAGGAGATTCAGATTACCATTTTCTCGATGAATAGCCTAGCAGTGTTGATATGCTAATGTTTCTGCTGCCTACTATATTTCTTTGCAGACCCTTTCTGACTCCTTTTTGATTCCTGCATGTTTTTATATTTTAACTATTCAAATTTATGAAAAATGATTTATTTTTTATTTTTATTGATGTTATTTATTATATTTTTATATGTAATGGGGAAACCACTCAATAGTTGATTAAGTTTGCTTTTTGGTTTTCCTCTCTCTTGTTTTTTTGTGATTGCGTCTGATTGTTCTTGTCTTTCGTTTATATGTTTTGAGAGAAATAAATGAAATGAAATGAAATATCGCAAAATCAAACATAATACAAAATTCATCCGCAAGAGAAGCACGCTAGCAGTCATTGGTGTTGCAGCACTGATGTAACATTTTTCCAAATGTTTTTCCTTTACAGTTGTAATTATTGCTATTCTGTTTCGAGTTCCTGGATTGAATCTTCCACTATTCATTCAGGGGTTTTACTGTGACGATGCCTCTATCAGTTACCCATACATCCCCTCTACTGTACCAATTGGAGTCGTTTATAGTGTCGGAATCATTATGAATTGTTTACTTGTGAGTATTATGTTAAATTTAATAGTTGAAATACAGTATCCTTTGTAATCTATTTGTTTCATTCCTAAACCCATCTAATCTTAAATTTTATTAACTCCTCTCTGCCTACTGTAATTTCACCAAGACTCTCTCTAATCCCACCCATTCACTTATCATATCCATCATTATTCTCACAGCACACATTCTCAATTTAATCTCATGAATCTATCTAGACTCGCATCCCTCTCTAATCCCATCTATCCTCCCTGCTTCCACCACCCATCCCTCTCACTAATCCTACATATCTCTCCTTTCTAATCCTACCAATTCCTTTTCCTAATTCAACCCATTCGTTCCTCTAATGCCACTTCTCTGTTTGTACTTCCATTGCTCATGATGCTCTTAATGCATTACATAGTACTGCACTATTACTCATCTATTTCAGCATATTTCCCTTAATTTTTTCACACTGTGTTTCAATTACTGTAAAGTGGATATTGTACAAGGATTGGTTTCCTTGCTGTGGTAATCATCAATTAACTTGTTTGTTGCAAGGATTTCTTTGCTTCTTGCCTTCTAATATGTGGTCTTGGGTTCTGTCTCTACAAATATCAGGATTTTTCTCAATGTGATTGAATTGAAATAAATAAGATAATAAAATCTTATTTTTTAACTAATTTACAATACTTATTTATTACTGTATATTGTTATTGTTATTCTCAATTATTCTAATTATAATTATTGTAATTGTTATTGTCATTATTGTTGTTAAGTATCACAGTACAGTATTTGTATTTATGTTACTATATTATTACTGTATAAAAATAATTATTATTATTATTACTATTAATTATTATTATTATTACAGATTTATTTTAGTAACTTGTTTTAGTAATTATTGCAACAATGGCACATTGTCCTGAACCCAAATATACCACAATATGATATCTCCATTGTGCCAACTACAACCTTCTTTCAGATTATTTACTATGATTTAAATTAAGTAAAAGTGGAATATAGATACTGTACCACTATGTGTTACATGACTAAATCTTTTTCTTAATGATAACCCTTCAGATCCTGATTGCTGAAATCATTACATACAACAAACGCAAACAACAAGGCATACAGTACTTGCAGGCTGATACCGTGAACCGGTGCTGCGGTTTTCCAGTCCATCCTGTGCTCTATGAAGTAGCCAAGTACTGGATCCTCTTTGCCTTTGGCCTTTTCCTCACCATGGTCACCTTTGACGTCACGAAAAATATTGTCGGTCGCTTAAGGCCAAATTTCTTGGACGTCTGCCAAGTTAATTTAACTTTGGTGGATTGTAATAATGGTCCGTTCCGAGCTTACGTTGTGGATGATGTCTGTACAGGACCAATTGAAGATGTTTTGGCATCAAGGTCTGTTTAAATACCTTAAACACTCTCCAGATTATTACTTTTTATTTGAAAAAAAAAACCAAAAACTATTGTATGCCCATATATAGTCATGATATCCCTATATACTGTATGGTCATGATGTGATTTCATCATTACCATACTTAGGTATGTCACATGTTTTTGTCAAATAAAATGTGATAGGCTGGACAGGGCCTTATTAATCAATGTTTCAAAAATTTAGAGATTTTGTTAAGCTAAAATCCTATGGGAAAAAAAAACCATTATGTGGATTGTTTACTTCACTTTGTATTTAAGATATTAGAATTCAATGTATTATTTATTTATTCAACAATATTTTGAGAGGATGGCTCAACAGCAATGCTGACTTGAAGAGGCCCTCTTTAAAAAGAATTCAAAATACAGATATAAAGTCCTAATTGCAATGAATAAAAATATGAGAAAATATAGAATATTCCATAGTTAAAAATCATTAAAATTGCAAGAAAAAAAATTTATTGGGAATTATATGAGAGTTAACAGCATGCATATGATTTGTTTCTAACTTCTTAGTGCATTTATTATAGTGAAGTGTCAATCAATTTAGGGTTGCTGTAGTATGACGTCTATAAAAGTAGCATAAAACTTAATTTTATTTAATCTGTATATCATTGGGGTTTAATAACATACTTGAGCCGTTTAAATAATGAGCTACAGGATTGTTATTGTATTGTATTGTTTTTTTAAAAATAAGATATTAATAAATAACATACTGATAAGCACTTTTTTTATAACTTGTTCAGCGAACCCACTGACTGCAAATATTGATAATTTTGAATAAAATTAAGATTTTATTTTTTGGCCAATTACAGTAGCACACCGCCGCCACAAAAAAGTGGAAATTTCAGAAAAAGATAAAAGATTTCTTTATTTTTATTTCGCCCTCTGCTGCCTTGAAATCTCCAAAGATAAGATATGTATATTTTCTCCCAATTGTATAAATTTGAAGCATTTAACCATTTTACATTCACCAATAAAATTGTATTCTTATTTCCTCCTCCATCTAGATGATTTTGGCAAAACTATTTGCTAAATAAGAAAACAAAATTTTATTTTTATATTTATTCCACCCTCCTCCAATAATCTTTAAATAAATAAGTACAAGAATCAAAGGAATAAAAAAAGTCTCGCCTAAGTAAGAATGTGAGAAAATTCATATTTCGATAATGTCTAAAAGTATACTGTATAAACATTTTAATTTAAGTGTTTTTTTTTTTTAGGCGATCATTCCCATCAGGACATTCAGCCTTGGCAGTTTACTTCATGTTGTATGCATCGGTAATTAAATCTTTTTCTTTTACTATAAGTATAGATGTTATGTTGTTACTATATCATAATATATAAATTAGAATTAAAATAGTGCAATTTCTTTTGTTTACAAAGCACTTTTGCATTTTCATATCTATCCTGTTGACAACTAGTGGGGTACACTTGACTAGGTTAATTTATCCAGAAAAGAACAAGCATCAATAAAATTACATTTTTTGAAACAATATTTTTATATTTATAGTATTGCAATTCTAATCTAAATTATATGATATTTATTATATTTATATGATTTTTAGTCATTTACCACACTTGTATATGAATCATAGACCATTTATATACAGCAATTGAAAAATAATCTGATTAAAATTTTCCTATAAAAAAGCCATTATTTGCACATGTATTTGATTTATAATGGGCCACACTGCTTGCAACGGAAGTCGAATTTGAGCCTCATTACTACAGAACTTATTTCTTTACTCGTCAAGAATTTCTGTTTGCAAGTTAGGTTTCATGCAGTAACAATGGTCATAATACACAATATTTATGCCATCTTAAAATTGTTTAGGATGGGTCCCCCCCCCCCACTTTTATTACAGTTGCATTTCAACATGTCAATAAGTTTAAGCTATATTCATATTCCAGGGGTGGCAACAAAAGAGTTATCTATTACACAATATTTATAGCATCTTAAAATTGTGTATGAAAGCTTTTTTCCCCATTTTTTTTTTCATTACTACTGTATGGCATTTCTACATGCCAATACGTTTAAGCCGCGTTCATATTCCAGTTGTAGCAAAAGGGGCAAAAAATCCATGTCTGGGGTCCCGATATTTTATACTATTTTTGACAATAAATCTTTGGATTTTTAAAATTTTAAATTTTTAAATGACTTCCGATAATTATATGGCAGCCAAACACCTTTCAAAATGTTCCATTTAAAAAAATGCTAATAAGCAATTAGTAGAGCTCTGCAGTAGTACACCTTAGGAAAATTATTATACGAATAATGCTTGGAAAAATTTTCTGAGGGCCTGCAATGTCCGAAGGAAATTTTTGAATGCATTGAGTCTTAAACCTAAGTATATTTTTCTTCTAGAGTACGATGCATTTTCTACTAATTTCTTTATAAGTCAATTGCTGTCTTTTAATGTTAGTCTTGATAATCAACTTTTGTAGCAGTCATTGGTTGCTATAGTGATATGTTCAGTATACTGTGTACGTTACGCTGTGCATATGCTGATTTGTGCTCCTCCTGTAGTACACGCACGTTAAGTCACAGATAGCAACGTTACACATCAGCAGTACAATACGGATACAATCAATAATATTTGTATTTTGTTAGAAGAACTTGAACTGTTTGTAATGCTATTTTTGATGGACATTTTTCAAAGAAATAAAAAAAGCATTTGAGGGAGAATGGAGTAGTCACTTTTTGGTCAATGCAGACAGGTAAAATCGTGTGCGATGATTCATAACTAGGCTGCAGTAGGCTAGGTAGGAGGAGGCCTTGGCGAACTTTCTGCGTGGCCGTAGGCCTACATCTAATTTCGTTCCTTGAGTCTTTAAAATAGGTCTAGAATATTCCTATTAAACGTTCTGTTTGTTTAGTTTATGACGGTCCATTGATTCAAGAAATTCCTTAATTGTTCATTATTAATATTTAATTTGAAAGAGCTAGCTTTCTTCGGTTTCTAATTAACCTTGTTTTATGAAAGTAATTTTCAATTACAATTAAATTTTTATCGCTGTGCGCGATATCTTTTTGCAGTAACAAATATATGAGGTATTTTTTAGCACATGAACCTAAAAAAATCAAACCAAGTGTCCACTATCTGAAAAATTATTGGACTGGGTGATAGGCAAATAACATTGGGAGTTGACTTATAATACTAAATAAAATAATAAAAAGTACATTATTAAATAAACTTTTTCTTCATCCCAGACTTCAGATAATTTATTTAAATCGTACAAAAACCAGTAAAAAATTATCACCAATACTCAATGATGAAATACTGTACGTTAATTGTTGCACCTGTTTTGTGGTTTTTCTTTTTTGTTTATTAATTGTTTTATAATCTTTTCTCTGCTTATTTAAAAGAGAGAAAAAAAAAACCCAATACATTTTTTCTTTGCGATGTCTCTACGTATCAAGTATCTTTGACCTCCAGGTCAGCCTTGTAACTTCACTTAAAGATGCTGTATGGGAGTGATAGTGCCTGTACAGGCCTAAAAAACTTTGATCAGAGCATGCCTTTATTATATGTTCACAGCTGACCGAAGAGATCCCCATAGTTGACTTTGTCACCTGGAGCGAATGTGTGTGTGTAATGTTCATGAGGGACCCCCACACAGGGAGAATATATTTAAAAAGAGTTTGACTTTCAGGGCATCCTATTCTTCTGGTAAAACTCAAAAACATTAGGGCTACACTCACAAAAATGCCCTGTACATAATGCTAAAGAGTAGGTCCAGAAGAGCACCCAGCTTAAAAATGTTATATCTGGATACAGAAGGTAGTAGCATGACACAAAATAATGACCAATTCACAATTCGTTGGCCTATTTTAAATCAATGTAGTCTTTTGGGAAATGATAACTTGTTCAAAATTTAATCTCTTATCACTGCTGTAACTAGATGAATTGAGTTGTTTATGCATCCAATAATACTAATAGATAAAGTCCAAGAAACACAAACACATTATATAAATACAATACGAATAATAATAATGACTATAGGCTTATTATATTTATACGAGTTGACAGGTATTGTGAAATCCATAATGTATAAAATTATGTAGTGTTATAAATACACAGGTGTACAATACGCTGTACATTATTTAATACATTATAATACTGTACAATGGAATAACTGCCTACTATAATTACACAACGTGCAGGGTTATGTGGAATATAAACAATATGCAAAATAAAATGTGTTAAGAATACACATGATGCAATATGCTATCATTATATTTAAAAATAGGCCTACAAATAAATGAACACCATAGAGTTTCAAGTAACATACTGCTGGTACAATTTAATTTTACTTATTTGCCCAACCCCCAAAATGTTATAAATATTTAATTGTTATTTTATATTTATACCTCTAAATATTTTAAAAATTATTTTATTTACGAAAAATAAATATTGTCAAAAATTGAAAGGTACATGTAATATAAAAACAAGCGCATGGTGGATTTTTGTTTAAATATATAACATAAAACATTATGTGATGTGAATATTAATAATAAATTCATATAATTATTTTCTAGGTATTCGTATATATTTATTTAAAATTGTTAAATTATAATTGAGAAAAAGTGGTCCGGCCAACCGATGCGGTTCCGACGACCCTGATTATCCCTCGCATGTATAACGGCGGAGGTGATTTCCGTTAGAGCCAAAAATGGCCACCATGGTCTCTGAAAGCCATAGGCCCCCAGCATTACACCACTCGCTGGAAGGTAGCAGATACAGTAGTTCAATGTCACAATAAAACATTGCTTTATTAAATTTTTTTGAATGTGCCCATCATTGTAATAAATTTGAACATCCCGAGCTTGGATTGGCTGTAATGAATATGTAGATTTGAACTTCTTAACATAAATTTCTATTTGCTTGTACAGCTGTACCTTGAGAGTCGCTGGAGCTGGCATGGATCATACCTGTTGAAACCCTTCACCCAGCTATGCCTTATGTACCTCGCTTTCTATGTCTGTGTCAGTCGTATGCTTGACAACAAGCATCACCTTGGCGATGTGTTTTGTGGAGCTTTCATTGGTGCAATTTATGCCTTAATCATTGTAAGTATAAACTTGATATTTTTGGATATAACCAAGGCTTATAAAGGCACATTACTGGAGCTTCTTATAAACGAAGACTGTTAATAGACATAATTATTTAATCCCACCATCTTTAATTTATTATTCCACCTATGCAATGTACGAAGTTCATTTTGCAGATCAATCAATCAGTTCTTTATTCAGTAATTTTTTCTTTATTCATCAATATAAAAACTAACAATAACAATAGCAGATGCAGTGATAAGATAATTCAATAGAAAATAAAACTCAGGATATTCAGTACTTTTATGACTGGTTTATTTATGACAGTACACAAGATTTCGTGCACACAGTGCACTTCTTCAGGTGAATGTGCACTGTGTGCAGAAGTGCACTGTGTGCACGAAAGCTTGTGTACTGTCATAAATAAACTAGTCATAAAAGTACTGAATATCCTGAGTTCTATTATATATTAGACTAGTACGGCTTATCTATTTTTTAAGATAATTCAAATATGAGTATTAAGATAAATGTAAGTGATGAAAAGGACCTCCAAGAAACTCAGGGAACTTTTAAATAGGAGGCCCGTTAAACTTAAATTCTATTTTGCAGATAAAATATATGGCATATCTGATTTTATGCAATTCAACAATTGAATTTTTAACCAATAAACCAAGTATATTCCTTAAAATAAACTATGCCTATTCCTTAAACTAAACATTTTTGGCTGTTAACTCCAACGAGCTCATTCCTAAATATTTGCTATCTTAACCAGACTATTTTGACAAAGGAAAATGAATATATAAACTAAATATTATGTTAAATTATGTTGTGTAACAGTAATACGTGTATCAAAATGCATGGTTTCCAAAGACTTCTGCAGTAATCAGGATAATACTAATTAGCTTATCTTAATTTATTTTTATTGACAGGTTTTTTGGTTGTCAAATCTTTTTCATCATCGTTGCGGTCAAGACCAACATGAGCATGACTGTTGCGGCACAGACACAATGCTAGTTGAGATGAACACAACGAGTAGCAAAAAGTCAATTCGTAAGTAGCAGGTCCTACAAACGTGTTCTACTCTAATACCTGTATATAATTTGACGACTAGGAGTTCTGTGTTTTAAATCATATTTGGAGACCAGTGATGCATAGGGGTATATGGTTCCCCTCCCCTATTTATTTATAGAAATTTGTGAAGCTACCAGAATGTTGAATTACTGTTACTACTCAGTAAAGATATTTTATTGAATTTTCTTAAAGATATAAGGCAGTTTATTGTCTTTAAAATTACAAAGAAATTTTAACACTGCACGGTGATTCCAGAGACATTTAAATTATAATAAAATGATAACACAATAATAATTGTAATGAGTAAAGCAAAAATGTACTATTCAGGTCTGTTTACAACATTGTTTAATAATCGTTTAAAAATACATAAAACCCAAAGTTTATATAGAATACAAAATAATTATTGCGGTAATTTGTTTCTGTTTGAATAAACTGTATATAATATCTCAATATTTTATCAAATATCTTTTAAAATGCATTACAATTGTTTAATGTAAAAGTAAAATATCTAAAATTTGTTAAGAAATTAATTCTTCTATATAATTTTGTTATGTTCAGATTTTTAATCAAAGATAATTGTGTGGCACACTGTAACAATTTGCTGTTTCTAGAGCTACGTGCAAAATCTAGGATGTGTGCTGGGTTATAGGAAATTGAATGAGTAACTCAATGACAAACACACTCCCACTGGGAGCGCTCAGCTCTTTAAGCTCTCTCTAACCAACGTCTTTAACAGGATAATGAATAGATAGTTTCAAGAAATTACAGTAATTATTCATTCTAGGCACAGCAATTACGGTAATTGCATAATTGCATAAAATTGCATAAAATTGCATAAAATAAAGCGGTAATTTACCGCTTTATTTTATGCATAAATTTGAGTTATTTGAGGTACTGTATTAAGAATATTTCTATGCTACTTTGTTCTTATTTAATATTTATAATGGCTCTCATGAAATGGGATGTACTGTTGGACATTGAGACAATGCCAAAATATGTTATTATTTTTATGAAGCTTTGTAGTACTTTAATATTTTTTTGATACTACACTTTTTGTGTACTATCAGAAAAGTGATTTGTTTTAATTTCCAGTTGTACTGAAAGCACCTTTTTAATTTAAGCTCTTTTTAAAAAGTGTTCTATCTTTATAAAAACAGTTGGATATTAATATTTTTTTCTTGCATTTTTAGAATATATTGCATGTACATTTTTACATATATTTTACTTTACCGTATTTATTTGAATAAACATCGCCATCTAGAGCCTCATTTGGAATAAACACCATTTTTTCTAACCTGGTTGGGATCAATAATTTTTCTGATCACCAGCACAATAACACATTTTGACGGTGATTATGTGTTGTACTTCCACATTTAACAGTGAAATTAATAGAGGAGTTTATTTGAGTATATACGTATACATTTTACAACAAAAAAGAAAATGTCTCCCTTGAATAAACACCTCAAGTAAAAATGTAAAACGCCTCTAAATAAACATCCCGTGGCTTTTATTCAAATCAATATAGTATTTCAAAAATTAGATGTTTCTTGTCTTTTAAATGTTGTTGAGTTTTGATGCAGTTCTTGTTCGAAATCCTGTCTCGTTTTTCTTTCCTTGATTTTCGTATACAGTAATATTTTTATAAGACAAAAAATGAAATGAATTATTTATTGTTAATTTTACTTTCTAAACTTCAAAATTCTGGATCAGCTTTCATGAACTTATTTAAAAATCATATGTGGTTTATTTAAGTATACTATACCATAAACATTTTGATTTCCCAACCAAGACTAATTTTGTGGTGATACAGTGCTCAAATTTTCCTACCAGTTCAAATAATTATTTGAAAATTTAATTAATTTTCCAATGTTTACTTTATTTATATGATTTTCTATCTATTATGTTTAATTACAATATTTATATATTTTTATAGATTGATTCTTGTAAATTTCAAAGTTTTGTGATCAAATTAATTTATCTTATTTTTATATATTGTAGAATACCACTTATATTGCAATAATATAGATTTCTGATGGATATGTACAATTGTTGGTACCTTGGTTGCCCCTTTTTAAGGTATGTCTTTAGGCAAAAGAAACTTATTGCAATTGAATATTTTGTGGCACTTACCGTTATATGCATGTTTGAATGCAGCATACAGATTTCAGTTCATACTGTACTGAAATATTCTGATTGATTGTTTTAAGAAGAAAATAAGAATGATGCAATTTTAAATGAATACATTTTCATGTAGGTATGATAATTATTCAGTGATAATATATAATAAATCAGTCATTTTCAGTGCATGTTCTTGATTTTTGTCACTTAAGTTTTTAATCAGATATAAAAAAAAATATATGATTTATTTTGTTTAGCTTGTTTTTGTTTTCATTTATTTTGTAACTGTGTTCAACAATCACTTATAAAAACAATGAAGTATGTTAGAGTGATCAAACATGAGATATAAACCTTTCCATATTATCAGTCACTATATATAAAAATTATAATTTAAATGATGATGATGATGAACAGTGCTGTAGCCAGGATTTTTAAACAGTGCAGGACAGTACAGTATCGGGGTGGACCCACTTTACGTGTAAATTCAAATAATGTAGACCAATTTTCTTAAAAGTTGACCCATTTTAGCAAAAAATATGGACCCATTGTCCTAAAAGTTTACTAATTTTATGCAAAATATGAGAAATCTGGGTCCTTTATTCAAAAAACAGACTCATTTTTGCAAGAAACAGCATAATTTAGACCCATTTTAAGAAATTTGGACCCATTCTTTGTGGACCCGATAGAAAATTGTCTCAAAAAGCTGACTACGGCATTAATATTGATGTATTTGATGGTAACATACAGAAATAATCAGAAATCCGTATATCTTTCAGGACTTATAATAATGACATTATTTTTGTAAGAAAGCAGACATTTAATGTATTGATTAAATTAACAAGAGTTGAACCCATGACCTCAAAATCTAGGTTGGTATCAAATGACTAAAGGCACGTTCAGACGAGTCAGCAGTAAGCTTTGAAGTAGCAGTTTACTTGTCATAAGCCCTGGGTAGTGCCTGTGAAGACACTCTTTGTAAATTTACTTTTACGTTACTACAGATGATTTACTCCTGAGCAGTCTCAGGAGTAAGTTGGAGTATACAGCAATTTGAAACTATTATGTAGGCCTAATGTATGAATAAAGTTCAGAGTTTGTCGGGTAGTGAAATGATTATTTCACATTTTAAGTGCTCCCTAAATTCATAAGTGTAAGCTAAATTACGGTGATTGATTTAATTAGCAATTATTTTGAATCCCTCTTTCCAAAAGGGGATGCAAATGCTTTGTGAAAATGAGTACGCCGCGGTACTCATTTTCACAAAGAAATACACACAACTGGTTAGCTAACAATTATGTCAATGTTACATGAACACCTGGGAAGGAAGGTGCAATCACGTTGTTACCTAGCAAACGTCTGTACTGTATGGGGGAGGGGCTGCTGATGTACTGTGTAGCGGGGGATGATGAGGCATAAGACTAGGCCTCACTAAGACTGGAATTATATGTGATAGAAAGTACACTTTCGGAAGAAATAAATTAAAATAAGAAAAAAAATAACTAAGAATAATTCATTTGCAGAGGTACCTTATTTAAGTATACAATGCTAACAATGCGGCTCTTGTAGCCCTGGCTTGGGCAAGGCATCCATGTGCAAAGCAGTGGTGTTTGTTTATCCATGAAAAAAGCACGCCGGGAAAGTTTGCCTTACCAGGAAAAGGTGACGTATCTAGCTTATGACGTATGCATGCTAACTAATGTGAGTGTGACGTCGCCAAAAAATGAATATTTTCTATTATAACCAAAATATTCATAACTACAAAGTTTCTGGGCGTAAATTCCCTTAATATGAATGAAGGGTTGCTCAATCTCCTTGCCATACAAATTACAGCTCCCACAGACGTCTCAGTCGAGAAATACGCATAGCTGAAGTTTTTCTCGCAAATCTGACTACAAAACCATATCCAAATTTCACGTTCCACTTTTGCCCCTGAGTTGTGCTTCGCACTCGCCGCTGAGGGCGGCGTTCTGGGAACCCTGCGTCTAGTAAAGTGAAAAGAATAAGCATCGTGTGGACAGCTGTCGGAAGTAACACGCATGTAAAATATTACGTTTGTCCTAACTTTACCTTAGACAGAAGGCAGTCTGAAAATAATGTAAGTCACTGACCATAATAATTTATCCAATTTTGTTTATTCCATTAACATTAATATTCTTTTATCCTAGCCACTTTGTTATGCCTAACTTCATTGTGTAATAACATTTTGTAAAGATTTTAGCTTTTAAAGTTTCTCTTTACAAAAGGTCGTATATGCCTGGATCTAGGGTCGTTCCTGTTCCTTGACAGCTTATCTGGACAAAACACAATTTCTGTTATGTCTTTTTTCTCGACTCAAGTACTAATTATAATCTGGAGTGCAGACATATAAGGGATAATCTTGAGATCTATATGCCATCTGTAGGCCTTAATGTGATGATAGAATACAATCTTCTTTACATATTAATATTAGTGAAATAAGGGCTATCTGTAAATCTTTTGTATGAACGAAAAGGAAGCCTTCATTATTCATAAAAGGATGTTAAAATTTAGAAGGCTATATTTGTGTTGGGTTACCATGCAGGTAGCATAGACAGGAAAGGTGGAGCTTCCCTTTATAAACCACACATTTTTCGTTCAAGATCCATTAGAAGAGATAAAAATCTAAGAATTTAATTGTAAGGAAATTGTTTTATGTTCATCTGTGGTGAAAATAAATGGCTTAAAACAGTTTACGGTTATAAGGTGTGGAGAAGACAGAAACTAGAGACATATCAATTTTTAATTTGCCATTGTGTATGTATGGTTCCAATAGTGGATTTGCGCTTTTCTACTAATTTGGAGAAAAAAGAAAATTATATTCAAAGTATGAGGGTGCCATTTCTGGCAATCTAGAGGTGCCACAATCTGAACTTTTCTTACCTCAGCCTTACTTTGGTTGGGGCTCCATCTGTGAAAGTCACTCCCTGGATCCCCCACTGAGTTTTTGTTAAAAATCAACATGAAAAAGGGCTGTTGCATGTCAGTATTTTGCTCATGAAGTGGAAAATGGGTGGGTAATCTCTACCAAAAAATGAATATTACTTTTAGACATTGTTCAATGTCATTTAAAAAGACAGTTACATTGTGTGATTATTTAATCACAGAACCCAACCTGCCTCCACTTTGTATTAAATAAAATCAAAATGAAAAAGTTCATTTGTATGCTGGAATGCCTCAGCACTGCAGCACTCCCCCAGGATCTCCTCTACTTTCTGGCTCTCACGGTTAACTCTTCCCCTTTAACAAATCCCAGTTACAAGCTGTTATTTATCAATAATTTACATTCAAAAGCTTGTTAGTTATCTAAATTTCCATATCATTTATTTTGTCATAAATTTTAAAAATACAATATCATAGAAAGTGCATAAATTATACTGTAAAAAAGATAGAGCATTCCGTAAAAAATTGAAGCCCTATGGGCATCTCGAAAAGAAGCACACTCTTACGTTTGCAAAAGTAATCTCGAAAAGAAGCCCACAGATGTATTGTCCCATGCTAAATACCAAAAAAAAAAAATATATATATTTTTTGAAATTAACTTGCACATTTTGAAGTAAAATAAATGTTATCAACTTGAACATAGAAATTAGTGTATTTAAAAAATGCCTACCCATCAGTTTACAGCAAAAAATGATAGAAACACTTCCAGTCACTGGAAATGTTTTATTATTTTTATTATACTTTTCTGGTTTAAAAATCAGGGTACACATTTTTTTAATTTAGTTATTTCTATGAACAAGTTAATAAATTGTATGTTATTGCAAAATAAGCAAGTTGATTTCAAAATTATTTTTTAAAATTTTTTTGACATTAGCAAGGGACAATACATCTTTAATCAAGATAATATTGTCTTCTTTACGAGTCAAACCAATGTTATTTTTTCATCATAAAAATAGTGTGTCAGTATCAATAGTATTTTATTGTACAAGCATGGTTAAAATTTTTTAAAAAGTAAATAGAATTTTGAATTCCACACGAAGCGTCTCCTTTCTTAGTTTGCAAAAGTAATCTCGAAAAGAAGGCCATCCTAGGGTTTTAAATAAACCAAAGCGCACTGCTTCTATTCGATGTAGAAAGAAGCATCCATATACAGTAATCTGTAATCTATGGCAGCTATTATGGTATAATACTGTATTACAGTACAGTATATACAAAGTCTATAACATGGCAATTGCAGTGACTTCAATGTGACAACATTATGACTAAATCCGTTTGTAATTAAGTGCCACTTGGTCAATAACTCTAAAATTTCCTTGGGGACACTCTTTAAGACTTGCGGACGTGGTATGAAGAATGCAAGTTCATTTTCATTCTTTTTTTTTTTCTGATATCAATGCCATAATCTTTGTAACATAGACAAAATATAAATTATCTCCGTATTATTCTTCAATACACACTGTTGTGGTCTGAGACAGTGATTGTGTTGCTTCCACTGATCCATAGTTGTCTTTTTGAGGTACTGGTGCAAGTGTAAGCAAAATCCCATGATTTTCAATCACACACATACGTTTGTAAACTTCCACCAATCTGCATATGTAGAGTGTCTATTTAAAAGAGAATATAAGTTTTTTTGAAAACAAATTATATTACTTGTATCATGGTAGGTCAGTAATAACCTAGCCAAAAACTTTTTACATCATTGAAGAAATAATTATTAAAATTGTATTACTTAGGAAGGGCCCAATTTGATGTTAGTAGGAGACACTTTTTTTTATATATTTTTAAGGGGCTGGTCAGATCAATTTTTTTTACTGATCGTCTAGGTGTATCTTCCCCGAACTACCAGCTGTTAATTCTGTCGTTCTTCAATGTACAAAAAAGAAGTAATAAACGCTGGAATGTTAACCCGATTTTGACGAGTATAGTCGTCCCTAGCACCCTCAGTAATAACCTGTGGAACGAGTATACTTGTCGCTGGCAGCCAACGTGTTGAAGATAACAATTACATGATGGGTTATTTGTTTTTAATATTTTTGTATAACGTCAATTAATTAAATTTGCAATAACTTACTGTAAATAATGCCACGGCTGTGCCAAGAAGCCCGCCACCTATAACATCCCCGGTATGGTGTTTGTAATCTGAAACTCTAGAGAGCGCTGTGAGCAGGGCAAATGCAAAGCAACATGTTTGCAGAAGTGTTCTCAGCATATAATACCAGTCCATTTTAAGTTGCAGATAAACCTACAAAAACCAAACAAGTTTTGTTTAGTTTAGCATTCCAATATTTAAATAGTACATCAACAGCCTTTTGTGTTCAGTGTCTGTTAGTACAGTGCAGAATATTTGTGTTGGGTTGTGTTAGTAAACAAGGACTGCGACTGGCTTTATAATTTGTAAAATGTTGATGTATTCAGTTATTACATTCTTGGCCCAAGTGGGTTTAAATTCTTCGCAAATCAAGATGATATTACTGAAGGCACTAGCAAAATGTTGAAATAATATTCTGGGCTTTTTTTTTTAGATCTACAATGCCAACAAGCTATCCATATTAAGCTGGGAACTCACTGCACCTGCACGATGTAGTGGGTTTACAGCTTACGTATACTCACTGGTCTACATTTAATGGTCTAGTCTATTGCAACTTCCCCTACTATCTGCCACCCAACAATTTAAAAACCTCCAAAATTTGATAAAAGCTCAGGCTTAGCTTGTATTGCTCATTTAAATCAATTTGATAATTTATTAACTCTCAATAGTGGAGCTTTCTGGAGTGTCAATCAAACTTAATAACTGACCAATCAGAACAGGGCCAGTAATACGCACATGTCCCACAAACACATTATGTTGTCCCACAAACGCATGTGTTTACATACATTTATGATATACTGTATTGTTTTGTGGGACCCTGAGAACAATACTCAAGAGGCAGGGCTTGTGGAATGGTCTATTCACAGATAGATGTGCTAAATAAGCTGATATTTTTAAATGGGCAGGCAACAATTTAAGGGTATATGTAAAAGTCTATGGGAACAGTATTAATTAAACATTCACGGGAAAGGAAAATTATCATTTTAATTTTCAGTTGAATGCATTCATTTATTTATCTATTTATTTACATATATATATAATATTTTGTAGATTTTTTAGTTAAATTTATGTAGGCGTATACAGTATCTTAACTAATATGATCAACTTACAAACAGGAACATAAATGCATAAAAAGCAAATGATGCATGGCCAGATGGAAAAGATAACCTATGAGAAAATAAACATACAGTAAACAAGTTGTTAATAAGTTGCAATAAATATAATATAAGCACAACTTTCATGCACACTTAAATTATCATTTAGGCAAGTTTGTAGTGTGCTTGAAAGCCAAGGGAATATTGCATTTCATATTAATACAAATAAAAAAATGAAAAATGAGAGAAAAAAATATTGGGGTATGAGGAAAACCAAATTCTGAAATGGATTGATAAGATTAAAATTATCCCAAGTTTGTGTAAAAGGAAGAGTTGGTGCCACAAACCTGTTTTCCCCACTCATGTTCTTTTATCCTTCACAATATTTATTATTTACAAAAAAACCCACAATACCTTGAAGCACTGTCAGACACGGATCTAGTTAATGCGTTTGGTTGGGGGGAGATATGGGTGGGCATGGGGGAATGTGTCCCTGTTTTGTCACTAAATTTTAAAATTTCAATGCATATCAATTTTATGTATCGAAATAAGTGCTACTTATTTATCTATTCTGAAAAATGCTGTACTATTGAAATCCTATCCCACACCACAACCTATCAATGCATTGATCAATGAATCAACCAATGAATAAATAAATAATTAAATAAATCAATGAATTAACCAATAAATGAATAAATCAATCAATGAATTAAAAAAAAATCAATCAATCATTAAACCACCAGATGAATCATTGAATCACCCAATAAATAAATGAATTAACCAATGAAGGAATCAATATATCAATCAATGAATTAACCAATAAATGAATGAATCAATTAATGAGTCAAACAATTAATCAATAAAATAAATCACCAAATGAATGAATGAACCAATCAAACCTGTAACATTATACTGAATTTTACTTTGATTCTGCCCTTGTCCGTAGAAAAAGAAAATAAATAAATAAATAAAATAAATACATAATCCGGTAACTTCACACGACTTCTAAGTAAAGGTTGTTGTGCAGCTCAGTGTGTTTCATTCAGTTTACTTACTATATTTTAGTAAGAATTTTTTTTTTATAGATATACTAATAAGGGTAAAACTTTACTGTAAATTGCTTGGTTTTGCTTTTGTTATGCTATTTATCCTTTTGTTGTTTTTGAACTGTCTTTTGCTTTCCTTTGCTTATATTGTTAATGGGTGCACCATCTAAGTGATGGGTGCCACTGATCTAAAAGTGAACCCAATAAATCGTATCGTATCGAATGAATGAATCAATAAAATAATAAGTTTAAAATGGTACACCCATGCAATCAGCATAATACCTTGCATCCAAAATTTTACTCTCTCCAACACTACCATCTCCTACACATGTTGCATTCTCAATGTACATAAATGTCCCAAACCCTTGGGGGCAGTATTGCATGTAGTCTATTGCACACACACTAAGAAAATGAGGTCGCAGACGTCCAATTATGAACTTTGAACAGTCAGTAAGCGTTTGATTGATACAGCCTCCTACAATGAAACCGCCAATGTACTTGTAAAGAGCCACAAAATAACCATTCACTTGGAAGTTAGGACTCAAGCGCTGGGCCTCATACTGGTACTTGGTAATTCTAGTGCCCTCATGAGATTGGTATTGTATAAATAGAATCCTCTCACATATTATAATCTAGGAAGAAAGAATAATATATGAATTTTATTTTCTAAGAAATACATATGTAAATCTAAATACACATTATAGTATAAGATGTGTAACTGAACCTGCGAGAGGCCTCAAGTTCAATTCCCACTGGAAACACATACAACTAAAAAGGAAATTTTTTATTGAATGGCTATGCTTGCAACGCCATTTGTTTCTACACATCCAATACTGAAACTTTCTATCATTTATTATTTACAGTATTAAACGCCCAGCTTCGAATAAACACCCCTTCAAATAAACACCCTCTCTAGAGCCTCATTTGGAATAAATGTCTCTCTTGAATAAACGCTCGGGCATTTATTTTTTCCTTGAATAAACTCCCCCTACTGTAAATGAACTTAAACAAATAATATGGAAGCAAAATTATTCTCAACAAAATTTGTTAATGTTTTACTCCAGTAGAATTACATTTTTTCTAACCTGGTTGGGATCTTCATGCAGTAACAAATTTTGCCGGTAATTATGTGTTATATATTCACATTTACAATGAAATTAAAGGTCGTTTATATGAGTATATACATACAGTATTCATTTTACACCCAAACAAATAAATGCTTCCCTCAAATAAATGCCTTCTCAAAAAACCTTCTAAACAATAAATGCCCCGGGGCACTTATTTATGTAAATAAGGTACATAATTTTTTCACAGTGCTTTTGCTATACAGCCACTTTGATTGAACCATGTTTACTGCTGCTGCAGAGAAAAAACTATGAAGAAGTAAATGCACAATGGGAAAAGTTAAATCACAGGTGGGCAAACGGCCCGACAGAGATTTTTGCAACCCGAAATAATGAATTAAAAACCCTATCTGTGCGGCCTGCCAAGCAACACTGAGTAGAAAACACCTGGTTTTTTACGGCCTGACGCCGATCACCTGCAAAAGTAGCACTTGGAGGTTTTTGGAAGCACACTGGAAACATCACAGTTTGGGTGTCTGACCGATTTTTATGCCCATCCCTGAGTTAAATAAACAATGTGCAATACAACATAATCCATAGTCAAATATCTGCAGGAAGTTGGCTAAACTATGGGCAACAGCAGTTATACACAACAACAAAAATACATAAACAGACTGTAACAACAACAAAGACAATAGTCGGGCTTGCAAATTAACTGAAAATATCCTCTTAGTGTATAAAAACTTTTAGAATTCAATTAGAAACTTTATTTATATACACTAACAATTTGGAATTGAATTACTACATAAAGAATACACTTTTTTTTAATAATAACGCATTTTATAAAAACACTGAGGCTGAAATTGCTTAAAAAATTACGAACAAAATAAGAACAAATTGAGGCTGAGCTAAATTAATGTCAAATGAGGTTTTCTCTTTTAATTAAATAGAAAACCAACAAATCGTATCTGAAATTTGAAGTAGGTAAAAGTATGTAATACCCTCAGTAATAAACTGCTGTATAATAATTTTCTATGTTTGAAAAGTGTGTAAATATAAGAACAGAATAACAACATTTGAAGCATGAAATCTGCCAAAAATCAGAACACAGAGTCTGGGAAAAATGAAATGTGCTATAAAAGAATGGAATTGTTGTTGTTATTTATTATTATTATTACTACTGTATTATTATTATTATTACTGTATTATTATTATTATTATTATTATTATTATTATTATTATTATTATTATTATTATTATTATTACTGTAATATCTTATTAAAATACCAGAAAAAAGTTTAAAAAAACTAACACAAAACTTACTGTTATTATGGGTATAAGACCACCAACTAGTATTAAAACGGTTGTAGAAATGGTATCTGGTTTATAAGGATATCGAATACTGTGGTCATCACAGTAGAAGCCACGCTGGTAAGGTTTAGCAGACAAATTCAAAATGGCAGCGGGAAGTACCACTGAAAAATACATAAAAAGTATTAAAAATATACTAACACTAACAAAAAAATAGGTATCAAACAAAATCATTTAAGTTATTTAAAGATGTACAGTATTGTCCCCCTGAAACAAACAAAATCATATAGACATTATGATTATAATTTGAATTCCAACTCAGGGTGGTTTATTGCAAAGTTATTAACGATATTCAAAGATACGTTGTTTTACCTTTGAAACATGTCAGGCGCAGTAATTTCACATTTTTTGCATTTATCATGTTTGGGGCAATCTCAAATACTCTCAAATGATATTATCTCAAAATTGACAAAAAAAACCTCAATTACATTATTTTGCCTCAGGACGGCCAAATGCTTATAATTACACTGTACTTTAGCTTTGGTTAGCTCTTTCTAAGCGTGGACGTTTTGAGGCCCTGTTGGAGCCACTTTCAGGTCTTGAGCTTTCTTACCATCGTCCTCAGCAGAAGAGGCATAAAGTTGTTTGTGTGGATTTAAAACCACTGATAGGAGCTTCCAATGATGAATGGTGATGTTGATGACTTCAATTAAAACTTTTAAAATGATAACTTACATAGTATAGTGACGAGAACATCCAGAGGAATCTTGTAACTTAATTTGAGGCTTCCAGGTTTTTCCATCTTCTCAGCTTGATCTCACTGAGCCTGGAAAGATATGGAGCATTAAGTAAGAATCAAGAATAGGTTTCTATCCACAATGTAAGTTGGTCATCTGCTTTATGAATTATAGAGGACCTATTAGGTAGAGACACTTAATAGCCAGGTATTAGAAATGTGAAATACTGTACGAAGAAACCACTGTGTGTGTGTTTGCACTCAAACAAAACGCAATGCTTGTATAAAGTATATAATTACAGTGTACTAGTAGTACTATGGAGGTTGAATCCATTATAATGTGGGTGAATTTCTAATCAGTGAATTAAAACATACCAGTATTGTGCAATCAGAGTATAGTATGCAACTACATTGTAAAAGTGTTATTGGTACTCATACTAATGTTACTTACCAATTATTATAATAATGGAAATGCATTTTAAAAAAAGAACATTCACAAAAGATTGACAAAAGGAATATAAAAACTGAGTACAACAAAAAGTTCATTAACATCGTTTGGATTTATTACAGTATGATTATCTCAGAACCAGACACAAAAGACATTTCAATCAGAAAGTTGCTGGTAGTTTAGTTATAACTTAAAACCCACATAACAAATCATTTGCATCACAAACTAAATGCTCATTTATGCATATTTAAATTAGCGAACCCCCTTGAATTTTTGAATGAGTCCCATTCGGACAGAATATTTCCGTTTTTAACTTACCTGGCATTAAATCAAAATTTAGCACATAATTCATTATTTGGTCACCCGTTTTTAAATTGTAGCTTGCAAGACAAACCTACAATCCTAGAATATCTCAGCTTCAGAAGTTCGGAGATTTAAATTGAACGCAACTCCGGCAAACCATGACTTTACGATGGCTTGCATACGGATGCAAACATCGATAAAAACCCAGCTGCCGCCTCAACTTTCACTGACATTTGGCTGAATGTTTGTAAGAAATGTTGGCCGCCGTCTACCTAGATTAAATGGTGCCACCAAACGAAGCTAAAGTTTTGAGACCTTAAATGCACCAAATGCAGCTAATGTTTTGCGACTTAATCACCTGATTGTGGATTGTGTGGTTAATAAATTTCATAGCGCACACTAAACTATTTGCTGATGGAGCATTTTTGGGAAATTGACTCTCCTTTTTTCTATCCCAATCAAAATATTATTAATAAATCAACATGGTCCATCTTCGTATTTTGTTTTTAACTTTACAACAAGGCATTTGGTGATTGGTGTGTGTGTGGGGGAGGGTTTCTTGTACTATAAAACCGGTTACTCACTGCGTGCGACGGCAACGCAACGAACGGATTGTCTTCTTAATGAGGATCCGTTCAGATTGCCACCAACAATCAGCAGACGGTGTTGTGTTGTCTATCGCTCGCCGGAAGCAAATGTGGATTCGTCATGCGACGCTCGTACAACCGTCGTACGAAGCAGTGAGTGTCCGGCTTAATTTTCAGCTCCTACTTTATTTTACAACAGGCAGCTACTATTTGTTTATATACTGCATGATTCGTTATTGAAGTTAAAACAAGACAACACTTTTTAAATGTTTTTATATATTATAAAGAATATAAATTTCTAAATTACTTTATATATAATAGTTTTTTTTGTTGTATAATAATAAATGTGTTGAGTATATTGATATTGATTATGCGATGAGGTTTTTTTTTGTTTTTGTTTTTTTGTTGTCTTTCGGTGATTTAAACATGCCAATTCTCAGAAAATATTTTCAAATTTTATTATATTACCACCTTTTTATTGACCTTTTTCAAAACATAACTGCTTTTATAACATTACAGTATATACAGTAGACCCATTAAACACTACGGACTTGTCTGCACCCATTTGATGCCCTTATCCAAATTAGATTATAGGTTACAATGCTACATGTAGTTTTTAAGATCATTTTACTTTCGGTTTCTATGTATAGATCTTGACTGAAGCAGTTTTGAAAGGATTTTATAATGACGTAAAGCACCATATACAGTAAGTCTACTACCATTAACCAACACTGAATAAATTACTAATTTCCTCAGCTCTTCCTGTGAAGCTTGAATATAATGTCACTAGAGTATAAAAATTACTTTTTTTCTCTGATAATATAATAACTTCTGTGCCAGTGACAGAGAGTATGTCAGCATCCAGGCCCGTAACCAGGGAGAGGGGGACGATCCCCCAAAAAATAGGGAGTTCCGCTCTACTACTGTAGACCAAGACAGAACACAACTTTATTGTCACTATTTTCATAATCTTTCATAAATCACTATATCAATTCTACCATCACTACTATTGTAACATAGTAAGTAGTTCAATAGGTATGTGCCTTGGCCTTACTAAGCCTATAACATGCACTGTAGATTTTATGTGCGACTATACTCAAAAGACGTTCTGCACAGTAAAGGAAGATGATGATGATGATGATGATGATGATGTATATGATATGATCCTGTCTGTAGACTACTACATTTGGATGGTATAGCCTCTGCTGATTCTTCAATATTTGCACATATCAAATCGATTCAGTTTTAATTCACAAAAATTGTAATTCTTTGAAAGAAGAGTATTTTGAATTAAAGGAGGCGGTCATGGTTTTCAACATTTTTCAAGAGAACCCCTGGAACCCAAAATTTCCACTCAGATTGGAAAAGATCCACCCCCCCACCCCATTACCAAAGCTGGTACGGGCCTGGCATCCATTTTAATCATATTCACGAGAAAAATACACTAAATATTTTTAACTTCTCCATACAATATTTTCAATTGAAAATTAGAACAAAGAATAATGTTGATTGTATTCTTTGCATCAGGGCCAATTTTCCAGCATTGTACAATAATCAATTTAGGGATTTCTGTAGTGAACCATTCCATTCTGTAAAACCAGCAAAAACTGAATATTTAGCTAATGACCAAGTAGCTTCCTTTTCTTTTCTTGTCCTTTAAGTTGAGGGGCAGGGGAGGGGCTATTCAGTAAAGAGCATGGTTCTCCCATCGGGCCCAGCCCCAGGGGGCTCACTCTTAAATATTTCTATACGGGTTGGTGCCGCATTTACGGGAGTATTTTTGAGGATTTGGTAGCACAAGTGTGGGAATTTATGGAAGAGTTTCTGCATGCATAGGGTATGTTTGCCAGGACTTGGTAGCAAAAGTGAGGGAAATACCTATGTAAAATTGACGTGTTGACAAAGACGCGAAGCCCCGCCCACAAAGTCACGAAAACCTTAGACAATGGTGGCTAGACTTTAATACCGAGTTGGCGAACATTTTCTTTTCTATCAACCTACTTTACGAAAGAGAATTCAGGGTAGGCGGTATGCAAGTGAATCATATATTCATAGTGTTATCTATTTCATGGAACAGGTGGGGAAATTGCTGTAAAAGCCTCTGTATTTCGCTCCCAAAGGAAGAGGGAAAAGCCGCATTCAGTCGTCAACCTCGTTGTTGGCAAAGGCCAAGTCACTGATGTGCACAGCTCATGTAAATCTGGGTATCTACAAGCAAAGGTCGACCAAAACACACATGGCTGAAACAAATAAATACTGATCTGAAACCCATAGAAACAAAACAGACTCACAAAACTTTAAACACACTCACGCATGATGCTTATAATAGGGCAAACTGGCGACGCACCGTTATAAGGCTCATGGCTTGAATAAGCGGTATCGGCCCAGAGAGAGAGATAACCAAGCATAGACATCTAGGCCTAGACTCACGTATGTTTCGCGTTGACAACCAGCTGTCTAAGGAAATTAAACTGTCCCAGGATTCCTTTTGCTGTTTTATGGGTTTTTCCCATTTGCCTTTCAAAATTTATATATTATTAAAGAATCTCTATTGAGATCCAGCGGGCCGCCACTGATGCACGGTAGAGATTGCATCTTTAGATCCCCGATCTTGTTCACAAATTCACGGACTAGTGCTGTCTCGTAAGAATGTTGTAGGACGTTATTTTGTCATTCTGATCGGATTTTCTCTACT